TAAGTGTGCAGTGCGATGTCGGTCACTGTAGGCTCAGTGCTGGGCAGGAGCTCTGGAGAACTTGCCCCTGTCCCTGTGACTCTTGAGCCCCTCCTGTCACTAAACCCCCGTTCATGCCTCCTTCCTTCTCTTCACTTCTGAAGCCCAAGCAACTAGAGGGAAATTTCAGCAGGTTGCTCCAGGCTTGAAATGGAAGAGTGAAAAGCCCTCCCCCTCCATAGCTTGCTTAGGGCAACAGAACAGGCACAATTTCCGTTTCCCTCTGCAGTGGTGTTTGTTGCTACAAAGGGATCATTTAGCGTGGGTGTTGGCAGCCACCAAAATTTGTTTCTTTGCATTTTCAGCCAAGAATTTCTTTGAGTGCTCTCGTGTGTGCTTTTTAATGAGGGAACCCATGTGCATGATACGTCAGTGGTGTGAAAGGCTCCGATACACAGACAGTGCACTGACTGCCTGCTTTTGAGATCCGAGTCCGAATTCTCCCCTTCTCGAGTGACTGAGGCTAAGATTAGGGAAGAACTGGGTTATGACAGGAATCATTTATTCCAGAATGAAAAAATCAGCAATCTGCAAAAATAGTAGTGATGAGAAGGCTGCGTTGATGAGCTTAGGATATGACACTTGGGATATGAGGGCCTGGTTCTCAGTGCCTCCCCTTAACTCGTATTTTGAGCAAGAGACTTCATTGGCTTTGGTTAAGACCAGTGCAGCTGAACAGCTGCCCCTCCTCGAGTGTTCACTTGGCTTTGGGGCTGACAGCCCAGGAGAAGGTGGCCAGTGAGGGATGTGCCACAGCTTTCTCCTAGCAGAGCAGAGACTCATGGGAAACTCAGTGCTGAGGGGCTTCCCTGATGCACGACTGGCTGCCTGCTCCATAGCTGACTTGGAGTTTCTGGGTGATGACCCAGGCGCTGGTTTGTGGTTGCCTAGGTTTTCTGTCAATGTGGCTGCATGTTGTTTGAGAAGGTAAAATTTGTTCAGAAAAACACCCAAGTTCGCAGATGAACTTCCTGCTGGGAGATGCATTGTCTACCACCTGTCTCCGACCTGTCCATCATGTGCCCGGGAGTTTTCAAGGTACCAGGAGGAAACCAGGCAAACCAGCTCCTTGCTCTCGGGGACCTTGGAGGACAAGATGAGGAGTTAGGCAATGGCAGAGGTAGTAAGGGCTGCAGGGGAAATAAAGCAGGGTGATGTGACAGAGGCGTCTGGAAGGCAGGGGTCGAGGAAGGCCACCACGGGGAGGTGGCACTCCACGCCATACTTGGGGTTCCAGGAAGGAGGCAGGAAGAAAAGCACCCCTGGACAGCGAGATTGCAGGGATCAGCCCAGAGTGCTGAGCCTGGATCTGTTAGTGTTCAACTAACAGGCAGCTGGGACCTATGGGATTCTGAGCGAGTGCTTTCCCTTTAAGAGCAGTGGGGAGCCATGCGTGGTATTAAGCCTGGGGGCTGACATGATCTGGTTATATAATTAAATTGGGAGAGCGCAGGTGGTTGGTTATAAGAGGAATCTGACATTGTCATGAGTATGTGAGGCCCTATGTTATTGCTGTCAAAATGAAATTCTTTCCTTTCATCCCACTGATTGTAAATATGATATATATTTGGGGGCCAGGGCTATGGTATAGTGGGTAAAGTTGCTGCCTGCAGTGCCATCATCCCATATAGGCATTGGTTCCAAGTCCCAGCTGCTCCACTTCTGATCCAGCTCTCTGCTGTGGCCTGGGGAAGTATCAGATGATGGCCCAAGTGCTTGGCCCCCTGCACCCACGTAGGAGACCAGGAAGAAGCTCCTGGTTTCAGGTGGGCCCAGCTCTGGCCATTGCAGCCATTTGGGGAATGAACCAGAGGATGGAAAGTCTGTCTCTGCCTCTGTGTAACTCTGCCTTTCAGATAAATAAGTGAATCTTTTTAAAAAATTCTGGTACATATTTGTAGATCAAATACCTTTAAATCAGTATAAACTCGAAAATGAAAGCTTCTTCATGCATACTTACTCGCCACCCACCAATACCAGATGACCTCAGTGAGCAGTGGGTGTGTGTGCTTCCAGAAGATTTTTCTTTCCAGGTAAGATGTGATAGATGCCTACGTGCTTCACACACACACACACACACACACACAGAGTGTAAATGAAAAAGGGTTTTTTCTGTGCATGTTGTTCTAAAACCTGATTCTCTCTCCTAACGTAAAACCAAAGACACTTAAAACACCTCCTGCACGTGTATCTAAGCCATTCTTTTTCATGACCTCATGGAGTTCTGCTCTTGGCCATGCTCTAATTTATTTACCCACCTAATGGGAAATCTGAGCACGTCTAGCTTGCACTAATTTAAGCTGTGAGGCCATTTCTGGCTTGTGCACCAACTTATGCACATGTCTTGATTGATTGTGTAAGGCCCTGTGTTTGTGGGGCTCTTTGCTCTTGAATAAGAAATAACTAAACTGTGAGTTTCAAAATCCCTTCCTGTGTGCTAGCCCAATCAGTATTCTGCGGGAGAACGAAAGCTGGCTTTTTGGCAAGGGTGTGCATTGCAGGAGAGACCTGTGAGCCCCCAAGTGTGTGTGTGGGGGGGTTGTTTGCCGCAGATCTGTGATCTTGATTGTTCATGGAGTAGCTGCTATGAGGAGAAACACTGCCAGCCCAAAATACCCGAAAGAATGACGAACATATGTAGGGAATGGTAAATGCACCTATTTGATATGCGCAAGAAGCAGTGAGGATTCCCCAGGCACCCGTCGCTGTGTGGGCACAGCTGCAGGTCTGTATTAGGTTGCTTTGCTTAATATCATGTGTAACTAAAGCCAGGGACAGTCCTGAAAACAAAAGACTACACGACGCTGCGGCTGCCCTTTGGTTAATTAACCAGGGATTCTGCGTTTCTAGAAATGTGACTCGGGCAGTGGCAAGCATGTTCAAGATCAAGTACAGGTTTCTTTATTAACGAGTCTACATTTTGCAAATACTACAGCCTATCGAAAGCAAAGGCGCTCAAGGAGGGGGATTTAGTTAGGAAGGGCCTTGGCAGGGAAAACCCCGGAAGTTTTTATTTCTAGCGTGTATTTGTATATTCGGCCCCTAAGACAGCCCAGGGAGACCGGCCTTGCCGAGATGTTTGGGAGGACTCAGCACGTGAGCTGCTGCGTGTCGTTTGGCCATGAGGCCTGCTGTGCACATTTTGGAGAACAATTTCTTTATTCATGGTGCATCCAGCCCTAAAAAGAAGCAAGATGCAGGCCCGGGTAGGTATCCCTGCCTTACCAGCTGATATAGATGGGCTGACAGGCTTTTGGTTTGTCAAAGATACAAGGTCATGGTCTTGTTCCAAATGCACACACTTATACTAGGCTTTGAAACCAGCTGGGTCTGTCCTATCTCTGTTTATTGCCTCTTTGTGCCCATTCACTAGCTAGGGAGGTAGGTTTAGAATATTAGACAAAGGATATATTTCAATGGCCTTTTTGAAAGGAGATTTTTTTTTTATGGCAATGTAAAATGTAACGTCTCTTATTCCCTTTTCTGCTGTGATGTAAGCTGGTGATGAAAGCTGTTAGAGTTCAGGTCAGAATGAGTAAAAGCATAGTTGGATTATGGAAAAGAAGGTAAACCAGGTTTTCCTTAGATCCTAAACTTTATAATACTGGATTGGCCCATTACAAACGAAGGGTGTGTGTTGCGTGTGTTGAAAGGTTTTATTGTGGGAAAGAATTAATTGCACGTTAGCTACTTTCCAGAAATAATTGCTTTGATTTATTTCCCCTCCAACCCCAGAGTGAAGCCCAGGTTCTTAGATTTAGTTGCAAAGAAGGTATATGTTATTAAACTAAAAAAAACTGAGATTAATCATTCCTTTTTTTCCTTCTGCTTCTAGAGAATAAAAACAATGTGGGTAGCTTTATTGAGGGAGACTTTCTCTGTGGTCATTTTTTATTGGGAAGTCAATCAAGGGGCATTTTTTTCCCTCAAATCAAAGTATCCACGGTGAAGGATGGGTTCTTTTTCTTTTTTCAGATGTATTTTATTTGAAAGGCAGAGTGACAGAGACTGAGAGACAGAGAAAGATCTTGTATCTGCTGGTTTAGTCCCCAAATGGCCATAATGGCCAGGGCTGGGCCAGGCTGAAGCCAGGAGCCTGAAACATCATCTTAGTCTCCAATAAGGGTGGCTGGGCCCCAGGTACTTGGGCCATCTTCCACTGCTTTTCCCAGGCACATTAGCAGGGAGCTTGATCTGAAGTGGGGCAGCCAGGGCTTGAACCAGCAGCCACATGGGATGCTGGCATCCCAGGCAACACCTTTACCTGCTACCCAATAGCGCTGGCCCCTCCATCAGCTTTTTTTTTTTTTTTTTTTTTTTTTTGACAGGCAGAGTGGACAGTGAGAAAGAGAGACAGAGAGAAAGGTCTTCCTTTGCCGTTGGTTCACCCTCCAATGGCCGCCGCGGCCGGCGTGCTGCGGCCGGCGCACCGCGCTGATCCGATGACAGGAGCCAGGAGCCAGGTGCTTTTCCTGGTCTCCCATGGGGTGCAGGGCCCAAGCACCTGGGCCATCCTCCACTGCACTCCCTGGCCACAGCAGAGAGCTGGCCTGGAAGAGGGGCAACCGGGAAAGAATCCGGCGCCCCGACCGGGACTAGAACCCGGTGTGCCGGCGCCGCTAGGCGGAGGATTAGCCTAGTGAGCTGTGGCGCCGGCCTCCATCAGCTTTTTGAAGTCCCTGGATCCAAGTGCTTTCTGAAGGCCTGGCCTGGCTACTAGTGTGACAGTGGCCTTGCTGAGTACCTGGTGCCATCTCTTCACCTTCTTTCTCTTTTCCTCCCTGGATGGTGGCCCTTTAGGCCTCCTGCTTGGACACCTGTGAGTTTCCTTTTATAGTCTTTTATAGACTTTTAAAGACATGATCCTAGAGACCCTACTCCAAGCTGATGGACTAATCAAGATCTTCCAGAATGTTTGTCCAACCAGAGTTCACCTAACTGTGCCCTCCTTTCTCCATCAGACCCATAGGACTGTTAAGAGAAAGTTGCACCTGTCTTGATGATGGTACATCAGTTTCCTGGCTCACTGCGCTGAGGAAGCCGTCCATACAGGAAATGAAGTGAGACTGGTTTGATTTGTTCCTGGGGAACCCATTTGGACATCTTCTTCATGTTTATAATAAATCTGTTGAATAGGCCACCTTAGGCGTAGCCGTCAGACATTTACCAATCTTTAATATCTAAGATCTACTTAAAAGGATCCAGCCCTGTTTCTAGACTTCAGGAGTCATTTCCTGTTTCCCCAGTCCTTTTGCAAAGACGTGGCAGATTTTCCGCAATAACGTGGATTGCTCTTTCGGGGTCTGGGATAACAGAGTGTGGGACGTGGATGCTGTTGGAGTGGCAGGTGTTTGAACTTGAGTCTCTCTGCTTGGACTTCTTACTGAGTTTTCTCTTCTGTGCCCTGTCCAGTTGCAAGGCCAGAAGAGAGAAGCTTAGTGGAGGTTGTGCTGTCCTAGCTCCTGTCTCCTGTTGACACTGAGCATTTTTCTAGGGTTGCAGCCAACCTGAGAATTCGGCTGAGAATGGCACTCAAAATGACTTTTGATAACGCAAGAGGGTCTTCAAGGCTTGGCCCATTTTGGATGTGGGTCTGCTGTATGTATTTGTGCTTGTGTCTTTGAGCGACTTTTTCTCTATGGTTCCTCTGAAACCTCCCTCATCAGAGAGCTTCCTTTGCTGTCTCGGCGGCTGATGTATGAGCATCCTTTCTCTCAGTCTGGCCATTTCCTAGCCAGTGTTCACGGCCTCCGCCAGGATCAGAAATGACTCCTGGGGCTAGGGCAAGGCTTCTGTCTTTGCTTGCGATGCTGGGAGAGCAGGAATTGGACAGCCCTGCAGTGTGGTGTTTGGGCCACATAGTTTGCTGGAAATTATAAAGCCCTTGTGCCTTGATGACTCCCTGCTGTGGCCAGGCCTCCTATCACTCCCAGCCCCAGGCTGCATTATAGCAGGATTTAGGGCTGGGGGGGAGGGTGTCTATTTTTGGCAAATGACCTTTGCAAAGGTTAAGAGTTTGTTGTATTTCTTTTGGAGTGTTTTCTGTGGTTCCTCAGAAGTGGTTTCTTTTTGTTGTTATTTTAATCACTCTGAAGTTACTTTATGAAGTTCTCTTCCCCTGTCTCTTTCCTCCGTCCCTTTCTATTTGCTTCTCTCTCTGTGTATATGTGGTAGTGTACACACACACATGTAGACATGTGTATACGTGTATGTGAGAGAATGATGCTGTTGCCGATTACCTGGAGATGAGGTTTGGTCCTGGTAAAGCCAACCATCATGTCTGAAAGATGGTGTTACGATGGGAGAGGAGATAAGGCATGCAGCCTTTGTCCTTCCTGGAATTGATGGCTCTCTCCAACACGATTTGCCCCTTTCTGTGTTGAGATGAGGTGTCTTTATAGAGACTTACTGCCGTGGTCATGGCTTAGATTGTGAATGATGGGAGACTTCAGGTGTCCTGAAGAACAGCCATGAACTTGGCTGCTGCAGAGGGCTTTCATGAAGTCTTTTTTTTAAAAGTTTTATTTATTTATTTGAAAGTCAGAGTTACGCAGAGAGGAGAGGCAGAGAGGGAGAGAAAGGTCTTCATCTGCTGGTTCACTCCCCAGATGGCTGCAATGGCCAGAACTGAGCCGATCTGAAGCCAGGAGCCAGGACCTTCTTCCAGGTCTCCCACGCAGGTGCAGGAGCCCAAGGACTTGGGCCATCCTCCACTGCTTTCTCAGGCCATAGCAGAGAGCTGGATAGGAAGAGGAGCAGCTGGGACCCAAACCGGCGCCCATATGAGATGCCAGTGCTTCAGGCCAGGGCATCAACCTGCTGCGCCACAGCACCAGCCCCTCATTAAGTCTTTAGTACATTTTCCCAGTGGACATTTCATTGGAGAATAAGCTTTTACCATATTCTTCTTAAAACCTACTGTCCATATTAGGACAAAACCAGACATGGACTTTGACAAATGCTGATGGTTTGCAAGTGGTTTTCCAAAGCACCCCGTGGCACACGGCATGGTGGGAGTGTTGTCCCTGGCCTGCTGTCAAGTAGCTCTTCTAGATGGAGAGACTCCGTTAATTACAGAGGCTCATGTCGGGCCGGCGCTGTGGCCTAATTGTCCAGCTGAGAGCTTCTGATGTTGATGACTGTTGTACACGAAATATTTTACCAATCTTGAGTGGTTTTATAGAGTTCCCCTGTCGTGCTAGATGTGTCCTGAGATGTCCCTTCCCTTTTCTCTGATTAAACACAGGGGGAAATGTCCTTCCACCCCTCTCCGCTGGCTTCAGAAAAGCTGGTGTTAAATGCATGGATTAAAAGCAGTCCTGTGTGTTGCCCTCCTGTAGGCTGAGCAAACCTAACTTGGGAGCAGCTGTGAAAGGTTCCCTACCCAGAACGGGGCGGTGCTAGGAGCAGGCACACCTGGAAGCACCTGTGCCCTGGCGCAAACCTTCTATGCACCCTTCTCATCCGCTCTCGCTGCAGGGCCCCCTCCTCTTACCTGCTGCCTCAGAGCAATGCCTGCACCACCCCGCCTCCTTATTCTCAAGTGGTTTTCCTCCTTACTTCCCACCCTCCTTCTCTTAAACCAGGGATCCCTGGCATGCTTTTCCGGGTCTGGTGGAGTGATTAGGGAGCAGCGCCTGTCCAGTCCGGCCAGCTGCTGAGGGAGGCCTCAGCAGCAGGTGACACAGGGACACAGGTGTCCCCTTGCGCATGGGAGTGTCGGGGAGGGAGGAGGCAGTCTGTGTTTTCAACAGGCTCTTTGCTATTTTAAATACAACTTAGGAAAGGCCATGGATTTGAACTGGGCAACTACCCTGGGCTCACGAGGTGAAGCCGATGGTAGAGTTTCACAGCGGTCACTGAGCTCTGGTTGATGGCAGGCGGTCCTGTGGCCACCGGACTGGTCGACTGACCAAGCTGCAGCCAGCTGAGCTGTTTTCCATGTTCTCCCTTCTGGTGTTCTGTCGATGCCATCTGATCACCATGTGGGCTGGTGTTGTCAGCATCTACTCTGGTTCTGGGCACGGCCTGGTGTGTGAACCTTTTTTTGTGTTGTTTTCCTTTGCTCAAATAAACTCGACCACATTGAGCTGGTTTAGGGAATTTTTCTTTTTCACACCCAGATACAAAGTGGAGTCAGAGCTCCTTTGAGGGTTTGCAAATGGTGCTATATCTGTTCCTTCAGCCTGGAGGGCAAGCCCAAAAGCAGAACATCTCCTCCCGCTGGGGGCTGCCCTGGTGCAGCACTTACAGCATCATAGGGAGGAAGGCGTCACTCGTGTGGCATTTAATTTTTTTTTATTTTTAAAGATGTATTTATTTATTTGAAAGGCAGAGTTAGAGATCTCCTGTGTGTTGGTTCACTCCCACAAAAGGCTGCAATGGCTGTAGTTGGGCCAGGCCAAAGCCTGGAGCTTGGAACTCCATCCTGGTCTTCTGTGTGGGCGGCAGGGGTCCACACGGACCACTGTACTTGGGCCATCTTCTGATGCTTTCCCAGGGGCATTAGCAGGCAGATGCATCAGAAGTGGAGCAACCAGGCCTCAAACTGGTATCCATATAGGAATCGCAGCATCACAAGCAGTGGCTTAAACCTCTGCACCACAGTGTTGGCCCCCTATTTTTTTATCCATATATTTTTAAAGATTTATTTATTTTTATTTGAAAGGCAAAGTTACCAAGAAGCAGAGGCAGAAAGAGAGAGAAAGAGGTCTTCCACCCACTGGTTCACTCCCCAGATGGCTGCAATGGCTGGAGCTGTGCTGATCCAAAGCCAGGAACCAGAAGTTTCTTCCAGATCTCCCACATGGGCATAGGGGCACAAGGACTTGGGCCATCTTCCTTCGCTTTCCCAGGCCACAGCAGAGAGCTGATTCGGAAGTGGAGCCCTGGAACTTGAACCGGTGCCCACGTGGGATGCCAGCATTGCAGGTGGCGGCTTTACCTGCTACGCCACAGCACCGGCCCCTATTCGTATGTTTTTATTGATACTCTTTTCATGGATAATTCTGACTAGGAAAGCACAGGGGTAACAGTAGCTACACACATCTCTTGGCATCCAGACAGAGCTTCAGTTCTCGGCCCAAACGAACACACTGTGATCTCCTTCATGACTGGTGAGTTTGGTGCTCTCCTGTTGCCTCTTTCTCCCCACAGGCAAACCCCACCTCGCTGCAGCTGTGTAGTCAGTGGCATTTGGCCCTCATGGAAATCACAAAGTCCTCCGCACTGCAATCAGGTGTGGGTGTTCAGAGCCACCATCCAGGTTGTGTGTGGCCAGGCCACATTGGCAAAGGTCAGGTCCACCATCTTCGTGGGCCTGTGGTCTTTGTCCTCAGCCTCAGGAGTAATTTGGTGTCTCTTGGCCAAGTTCATGAGGTTGTGGTCAGAGTGGTGGGAACTCACCTGCAGAGTCTGGGACATCTGCACCTGCGGTGTCGGAGATGCAGGAGCTGGTGGCACCTTGGTTGGTGCCTCACGCGGGTCTAGCCCCCGTGGCGCACATTGGTTGCCACCAGCTGGCAGGAGAAGGGGCCCTGGCCTTTGAAGTCAAGGCTCTTCACTGTAACTGAAGATCCAGGAGACTTACCGTCAGTGACCCATACATCTTCCTTTCTCGACAAGTGGAGAGCACCTCGTGCCGCTGGGGCTGAAATCCCCCAAGGGTTTCCTCTTCCTTCCCCACCTCACAGCGCTACTTAGCAGTCGACTTTGTAGTTGAAGTCCTGTAGAAGAGAAGCTTCTTAAATCTAGGGGTGAGTGTGATACCCCTCCTGGGAAGGACACGAGAATCGAGCTGCAAGCCATCAGGAATTGCTGGCGGGCAGGCGGTAGATGCCTGAATGCTCGGACTCCCGGGGCCTGGAAAGCAGAGCTCTGGGAGGGCCTGTTACAGTGCTCCCTGCCATACCCCAGCCCACTGTCTCTGATGGTGCTGGAGATGCAGTGAGGCCAAGCTCCCAGGTCATGCTGATGCTGCACTGATTCAATGTAGGAGCACTTGAGGGCGGTGGTTCTTACTGTGGGCTACACTTTGGAGTCACCCGAGGAGCTCTGTAGA